ATAGCCCATTGTGTAGCTTTGTGCATAAATTCAAACAAACAAACAAACTTCCTGTTAATTTTTTTTTTACTTTATTTCTCTAATTCAGTATGAGCAGGGGAGAGAGAATGAGTAGTTGCAAGAAGCAAAATATATAAGAATTTGTTTTCACTGCTTATGTATATTTGATACATGGTCCATTTTTTCATCAAAATACAGTCACAAGTCTTCAACTTAATCTTATAATGAAGTTTTGTTGTCTTCTAGGAAGTTAAAACATGGTGGAAACTTAATCAAGAAAGGAGTAACACAGCATATCAGGTTGATGTATACTCTGTATGGATCTAATCTTGTACATAAATGAAAAAAAGCTATTAACCTTCATCTAGAAAGGATGTGTACTCAAACTTTTGTGTTTATTCTGTTCCTCATAGTTATAATTATCACTCTAGCCATACCTCTTGAAGTGGTAAGCTTGAATTAGCTTTCAGGGAGGAACTAAAATGTTAAACTGTCTAGAAAAATAATGCTAGAGCCTATTATGTACATAACAATTATTATATTATACCCACAAAATTCATGAATTTCATGTTTAATTTTATTGCTATTGACTTTCTCTCTGTCACAAAACAAAATTTAAAGTAATTGTAATTTGAACTTTTTTTTATTGCCATGAAATATATAGAGTATATTATTTATAAATTAAAAGTTAAGACAGTGTGGTGGTCATACTTAGTGTTTTTGTTGATAACAGAATTAGAAGTAGGTTTTATTTGTGTTTTTAGATATAATTTGGTTAAGTTTTTTTTTATGTTGATACAAAGAAAAGTATTCAGACATTATGTTATTAACTTGACAAACAAAAAATGGACAGACTTTGTGTTTTCTGTTGATAAACATGTAAAATAAGATGAACATAATGTGTTGCCTTGAAAAACATTGTTTGATTCATAAAAGTTGCCTCTTAAGGTAATTGGCTTGAACATTTTTAAAACACTTGACTAGGAAACTTTTATAATTTTACCATTTGGTCAGTTATTCAACACTATTGAGAAAATTATTACAATGTGTTGTCTGTGTAAAGTTGAAGAAACGTTTTGAAATGATAAAATTTTATTGAGAAAAGGCTTTGAAAAGTCAAGAGAGCTTGTAATAAACCACCAGAATAATTAAGTTAATTTCTCCCTGTTATGAGTTGGCTTTAAGCTTGTCTAAGCTTAGGATATAGGAATCATTTATATTGCTTTTTATATGTGAATGTAAAGATATTTCTAGTGTAAGAAACTGTAATTGAAGAACTTATATAATATACTGATGGTTTTAGTTTATATTAATAAAACCACTTTTTATCTAAGGAGCAGATGGAGAGATCCTTCTGAGTCAAAGATTTAAGTCTTCAGGATGTGATTTATCAGTGGAATAGTTTATTACCTGAGTACATGAAGGTTGAAGTACTGGTAAACAGTGAAAAACCTGTAGGTTTGTATTGTATGATAATAACTGCAAAATTTTAAATATGTGTGTTTTAATATTCTAACATTAATGAATATTACCATAAAACTTCTTTATGAACTATGTATAGCCTGTGTTTAAAGTATCCCTAGAGATCAAAAGTATAGTTTGTTTCATACTGTATTTATGCTGTATAAACAGAGTTACTGTACACAGAATTTGATACTTATATAAATACTCAATCGTATGTATTAGTCACACCTAACAACAACTGTAAAACTTCAGTAGTAAAAATACAGTGAATTTCAAAAACCAGGTTTCAGTACTTGCAGTGGGCACAGCACAGATAGCTCATTGTTTAGCTTTATGCTTAACAACAAACAAAACAGAAGCAGATATTTATAGATACAACTACATCTATTAGAACATCTCCAAGTTCATGTTTCAGTTTACAGGTTGAACCCACATTAGATTTGACCAGAGGTGATGAGGTTGAGAAGCAACCAGTGGAGGCACTACTGCATTTATAATATAAAGAAATATTATAAACATCATTAAAAAGATTATTTCGGCATTACTGAATTAATCTTGGTTCTTTACCAAACTTTTAATATAAAGCTGATTATCAACATCAAATTGATAAGCTTTTGTAAGCACAGCTGGATCTTAGATCAAGAGAAAAGAAAAAAAAAGACTCTGTTTTATTACTAATAAAACATTCTCACTATTGTGGTTCCTTGTCTTTTAATAACTGTATACTTGTACCAGCATTCAACCATTAGAAAATACTGTTTCAGAGATTATATCTTTTGAACAAGAATATGAAATTTTGTTGCATATTTTACAAGTATTAGTTATTAGCAGATTTTAAACTTTCCATAAAATACATTAAATGGTGGATCTTAGAATGTGAATACTGTATTTAATTGCTAATCTATCAATTATTAACATGGATAAATACATGACGGGGAACATTCTTCAAACATTTTAAGTAAACGTTACATCTAAAAAAAAGTTTTCTCTAACTTACTCATTTTGAAACAAGTTTGACAAAAATCAATAGCATATTTCTTGAAAATTATCTAATGGATTTATACAGCTTCAGCATACAAGTCCATAATGCTAACTTACTAATGGTAATCTCAATTTTCACCTATAGCAGTAACTGCTCAGTTGACAAGTAACTGCAAATTAAGTTTACACAGCAGAGATAGATGGTTGAGGTTTGTAAAAGAAAGTTGTAAATTTGATTTGTTGATTTTCAGTTAAATAAATGTTTAATGTTTTATTAGAGATGAGCCAATAGGATATCAGATCCAAATGCTGACTCCCTTTTTATGTTCTTCCCCGAGCCTAAGGGTGCTTGCCAGATTTGGTGACAATTGGTCCAGCAGTTTGCCAATTATTAGTGGACACAGCCCACGAGGAGGATAGGTGATTCCAAAAATGACATGGGAGAGTTATATATGTATGTTGACTCCATATGTCGCTCTGGGATACCTAATGATACATGCCAGGTTTGGTGACAGTTGGTTTAGTGGTTTCCAGTTATAAGTAGACAGATATGCAGACTTTTGTCAAATAGTGGGTTAAGATTAGCATGATTGAATGCTGCATGCACAGAATCACATATGTTTTTATGAAAAGAGATTAGGAAATAGATTATATATACAGGATTAAATGTAATTAGTGTTATGAGGAATACATTTTTTTTAAAGAGCTACATTTTGTCAAAAATGAGAAATTTCCCCATCATATTTTACAACATGAAAACTTCAATGGGCTAATCTGTGGCTTGTTTTTGTTGGAAACTGTTGCTTTAACATTACTTTAAAAAACTACCCCACAAATGTTTACTGTTTACTCAATTTCTTTGGGGCATAGAAGCAATGGGGTAAGTATGAACCCCACACCTCTAAGCTTTCTCCAAGAGATCCTACAGTGAATTTGTCTACAATAGAGATGGCCAAAAAATGGATTTCCCCAGAGCATTTAGTACACTGCAAATCTTAAGTGATCTGTCACCCTCAAGGAGTGGACATGGTGGATTTGTTTGTTAGTTTAACTACTGAGCCCAAAGTGGACTATTCCATTCAAAAAACAACCCTGTGGCAATTCTTTAATTACTTGATCTCTTCTTTCACACTTAATTTCGTGGAACTCAACGAAGGCTGTTCTCATCAGAGGAAAAATTAAAACAATCTTACTCTATTTAAGCTTTTATTAAGAACATGCATACCTAGATTAAGGTTTTCTCACTTCACATTCACTCTTCTGGTTGTGCTCAAGAGAAACATGAAAATAGTTTAAGGTAAAATATGTTCATCATGAACACAGAAAAACATATCCTGATTATTAGCAGTTGGTAAAGTCACTATATTATTTTTGATCCATTTCTATTTGCCACTCATTGGAACACTCAACCCTCCAGCATTTTGGTATATGGTACCTCGTCCTCGGGCATTGGCAATAGATGTATTCAGTTAGGACTGGACAGGATTGCCACTATGCCTTCCCACTGATTCGTATGTTACCCAGAGTACTAGCTATAATTCATTCAACCCCTTGGCAGGTTCTATTGATAGGACCAGATTGGCCAACTCAACCCCCATCTCTGCAGTTTCATTCAGGTGTGCCCACCTCTTTCACTTCCTTTTTGGCCACCTCTGTTGCAGTGGCCACAATCTGACATCATACACCCAGCTATACCGAAACTCAAGCTTCATGCATGGAGGTTATGCAGTCCTTTGCACGGTGTCAGGGTTTAACTTCTAAGGTTGCCATGTATCTGTCTCAGTCTTTGCATAGTCCCATGATTGACATTTATCAACAGAACAGGTACACATATTGAAAATAGTGTATTGCGAGAAGTTGAACCCACTTCTTTCAGAAGTGCCAACCATAACTAGTTTTATGACCTGGCTCTTTGACAAGGATTTCGCATTTTCCACAATCACCTTATATAAAGTGGCCTTATTGACTATCTTTTGATACTCAAAGCGAACATTATTTGAGCCCCCAGTGCTCTCCAGCCTCAAGTCATTTTGGGTCCTTTGTCTCAAATGGCCATTTCAGTTACATAAAAGAGATATTAATCTTTCTCAACATATGTTTGAGCCCTTAGCCTCATGTACCATATATCACTTTTCCCTTAAAGTTTATTTTTTGTTGCTTCTGGCCAGTGGACATCACTGGTCGGAGGTGTTTGTACTGCATGTGCACAGGATGCTTTATCATTCTACTTATGGC